GAATTATTGGCCGCCATGATAACATTTGAATGCAGGTCCTGGGGCTAGCTCGACATCGAACCTATGTGATACGATGTCGTGCCGCGCCCCGTGGAGTCTCGTTGCCCGCCAAGCCATTATCAGATTCGGTTTGGCTGAATGTGATGGGACGAGGGCAGAATGCGATTCGGTTGCGTCATCGCCCGTGAATGCCGTGGGCAGTGGTGAGCTTGCTGTGGCACATTCCAGAGTTGTTCAACTTCGCCGAAGACGATCGCATCTTGATTATTGATATTGGTTAGTGTTCGTTTGGCACTCCGTGGAGGAATCGAACCCGCCGAATATTTGGTAACTGCGACGCGTATGATATCAGTCGTCGTGATCAACCCGCGCGTTGAGCTCTTCGGGCATGTCACTACAAGGGCGCCGACACGTTGAATTGGAAGGGCGTGCTATGCCATCGAAGGCGCAAACTTACCCCACGAAGCTGTCTCAGTTGATAGCATACATGTTAGGTGCCCAAGCTGCTCATCAGCGGTCAGTTAAATGATGCAACAACTGGTAAGCTGATATCCTCGGGACGTTTTGGGATCACTCGTATATGTTCATGTGTATGTACCCTCTGCGTAGTCTCTAGACTGCAAATGTGTGTGGGCCAACTCGTGATTAAGGTGGTGGAGCTGATGAGACCTATGCCCATATGAAAATGACGTACCTGATGCTCGTCCGAATTGGAGCCTGCGGAATGGGCAGCGGATTGTGGTTCTGAGTAGGAACACACTTTCGTATTGTATTTATTTTTGTTTAAGTCTCCCTCCAACTCTCTCTCTCTCTCTCTCTCTCTCTTTCCCCGTTTCCAGGACCTCCTGCTTTTCCAAGGAGCAAGCTTATAGTGTCATGGGTAGGCACATTCTGCTTAGTTTCTAGACTGCAAATGTGTGTGGGCCATCTCGTGAGTACGGTGGCGGAGTTGATGAGACACATGGTTCTCTGAACATGACGTGTCCCGTGTATTGGTGTTGCTGTATAGTTGTTGGCGTTGCGTTGTGTTGTATTGTTCTGCACTGGTTTGTTTTGCGTTGGTTGGTCTTGCGTTGTATGGTATTGCTTTGAGTTGGTCTGCTTTGGGCTGTGTGGAACTGATGTGTGAAATCTTGCTCTGGTGTACGTTATGTTGCCCTGTGTTGTTTTACGCTGCGCTGCTTCGCGTTGTTCTACGTTGTGTTGCATTGCGTTGCGTTGTGATGTTTTGCATTACGCTGGATTGCTCTACGTTTCGCCGCATTGTTCTGCTTTGGGTTGCGTTGCATTGCGTTGTGCTGCGCCACATCGATTACTTCACGTATCCTGCACCACCTGGACTGCATATCATAGATTGCATCACGTAGATGGGAGCGCGTATATAACACCGTGAAGTTCGTTCTGCAGATGTTGCACAACAGAGGTTGCCTCACGTAGACTGCGCCACGTGGGTTGCTTTAGCCAGATTGCACAACCCTTTTTCGCCAAAAAACATAGTTTCGAGCCCACGCTGGCTTACATGTTCATGCTCCTCCCTCTGCCATCTCCCTCCTCGTCCGCCCATTTCTGTGCTTTCCCTCCTTACCCCTCCTCTTTTATTCCCCTCTTGCATCTGCCAACTTCACTCATCCTCCCTCCTGCTTCCTCTTCCGCCCCCTCGACATCCTCCGTCCCTCTCCTCATCATTCGCCGCACCCCTCCTCATCCCCCGCCCCCCCTCTTCATCCTCTGCCGCTACCCCTGACCATCCTCCGCCGCTCACCCAAATCCCCCGCCCCCTCCCCTTCCTCATCCGCCCCCCTTCGTATCTCCTCCTCACCCCTTCCTTTTTCCCTCCCCTCCCTCCTCTACCGTGGCTTCGTGTGAATCCTCTTCCCCGATGTCCCGAAAATGACCAGGGAGTAGCCCGCCTCCTCCGCGCACTGTGCAATATATTGCCAAGGCTTTATATGGCCGGTGCCGCCGACCCTGAGAGGGGACGAGGACTACAACTGCGGCGGCGGCGGCCGCGACGACGACGCCAACGTGGGCCGGAGGGATGTTTTGGGGGGTCTCTTCTGAAGGTTCTCTGGGGCCTCTGGGAAGGAATTCTGGGGCCTATTGGCAGCCTCTTGGGGCCTCTTCGGGTTTCCTGGGGACCTCTTGTGGGCATGTCGGGGCATCTTGGGAACCTCCTGGGCGCCTTCTGGCGCCGAGGGGTCGAAATGTCCGTTCGGGTCCCCCGTCAGGGCATGGTCTTGGAGCGTCTTTGGGGTTCCTTGGGGCATTTTGGAGGCGTTGTGGGTTGTCTTGGGGTCCTCTTGGGGTCTCTTGGGGTCCTCTCGGGGTCTCTTGGGGTCCTCTCGGGGTGCCCTCTTGGAGGTCTCTTGGGCTCTCTTGCGGCGATCTCGAGCCTCTCTTAGGCCGTCATGGAGCGGCGGGGAGCGGAAAAGGCTTGAACGCCCAAAACGCAAACAAAATAATAATAATGATAAAATAAGAAGAATATTCACCATAATAATAATATTAATTAAATAATCATACTAATCATAATCATAAGTATAAGCATCAGTGAGTTTACAGTGGGGGCCAATGCCGAGAAATACCCCGGTTGCCTCCAGGGTGCCTTGGGTTTCTTGGGTTTCGATGGTTGAGCTGTGGAAGGCGTGGCGTTCCATCACCAGAAATCAATGGACGTCCTGGGGTCTCAGGGTTGGGTTTCTTGTGGAAGGTTCCTTGTGGTCGGGTCTCCACTGTTGTTTCGTGGGACCCTTCTCGGGAGTGCTCTTGGAGGCTTCTTGGGACGTCCTGGCGGCCTCCTGGGCAGTTTGGACGGCGTGAAGGCGTTTTGGACCGATAGTTTTGCGACTGGGGGCCTTCTTGGACAGTCTCGGGGGCATCTTGGGGCACTCTTGGCCTGTCGTGGTACTTTTTGAAGTCCCCAGGGCCCCCAGCGGAGGGTGCGTATCTGAACCCCCTCTTCCACGCGACTCCCCCGGGACCCCCTCTCCCGCCCTTCCCGGGACACCCGCCGCCCCGACGGGGGAGGGATCAGAGGGAAGGGGTTCGGCTGAAACACTACTTTGCTATATCCTTCTCTTGCTAACAGGCTTGAGGAGCAGGCCGCAGGGAAAGGGGACGACAAAGACGACGACTCGAAGAGACAAGCCCCTCACACAGTCCGGCAGGGTCGGCGGATTTGGGATGTTATTATTATTATTATTATTATTATTATTATTATTAGTATTATTATTATTATTATTATTATTATTATCATTATTATTATTATTATTAATAACAGTGCTTGCACTGAGGGGTTCTCGCTTGTCCCCCGAAAGGAGCTGGGCCTGGTTGTCGGTTCCGTCGCCTCGTTGTGGTGGCTCCGTGGCCGCCCCTCGCCTGGGCCTGGTCGTCAGCTCCGCCGCCTCGTGGCGGCCCCGTCGCCGCCCGCCCCCGCCCGTCGCCGCCGCTCGCCTGGGCCCGGTTGTGGGTTCTCCCGCCCTGTCTTGGCCCCGTTGCCGCCCGTCGCTGCCCGCTGGCCGCCCCATCGTCTGCGCCTGGCTATCGGTTCCGCCTCCTGCTGGTGGCCACGTCGCCGCCCGTCGCCGCCGTCGCCGCTGGTCACCCGCCGCTGCCGTCGCCGCCGGTCGCATTGCTTCATACCGTGTTGGGGTTTCGTCGCACTGTTTTGCATTTCTGTACATTAGATAGCGTTGCATTGCTTTGCATTCCTTTGCATTGCGTGGCATCGATCGGCGGTGCTTTGCATTGTTTTTGCATGGCTTCGCATTGCTTTGCTTGACTTTGATTTGACTTGCTGTGTATCGAGTTTCATATCGTTGCCTTGCTGTGCATTGATTTGCATTGATTTGCGTTGCTTTACGTTGCGGCGTACTGCTTTGCATTGCTTGACACCGCCTAGATTACACCACATGGGTTGCACCACCTAGATTGCAGCAAAGTGATTGCACCGACTAGATTGCGCCGCGAAGACGGCCAGGAATCATTGTTGTCCGCTCTGGTTAACATTTGTTCGTCCATCGGAACATGTTCGGTGTCTCATAACGGTTCTGCCGCTGCAGCATTGGCCTCATTTGAGGACCGAAGTTCTGTTTTCGTCGTTCGGAATGGCGATGACACCCTCATTGTTGTCACCCTCCTCCTTTCCCCTGTTCCGCCTTCCCCTGGTCCTCCTGCTCCTGCCGCTCCTTCCTCTGCAGTTCCTGTTGCTCCTGCTGATCGTCCTCGTCCTTCTCCCCCCTCCACCTGTTCCTCCTGCGCATCCTCCAGCTCAGTCGCAGCTCCCTTAGTGTGTACGGCCCCCCTCTTTCCGATGGTTTTTGTTCGGATGTCAGATCCGCTTTGACACGCGTCCGCGCATAGAGAAACCCTCAGCGAAGGGATGTGTAGGAGGGTCAGGAGGTCAGACAGGTCTTGAGCTAAACGGCGTTCTGTCGATCTCGTGAACCGTTTTCATGTTGTGTTCGTTTTACGGCAAGGCAGAAAGAAGACAGAACGAGGGAAGTGAAAACAACACGAACACGGAACACATGGCCTTGCTCCAGCCCAGATGGCAGATTTGGCGCGAGCCCACCTCGCTTGTCATCCCTACTCATTTACCCTTCTCCCCCTTATCCTCTGC